GAATTAAATGTGGGGCAAACGGAGAGCACACAAATAGGTGCCCGGGAAGAGGGGGAGTTCCGGGGGGGGGGGGAATCAAGCTTCTATAGTTTTTGTAGAGAGGCATGCATACCGGGTGGGAGAGGGGGGGGGGCAACATGCAGTATCAAGATTCAGCCAAAGTTTCCCACTTACTTAGAAACTTTCTTTTCTGGTCATCATCTAGAGCGTGAAAGACTTCCCAAAACATCTTGATGGTTGAATGTGAGTCCGTGTAGGGCAATATATAGCTTGTAGACTGGAGACAATTAAATGAAAGCAATAATGCTTACTCTTTTTACCTGGAAATTATCCATTTCAAACATTCTGAAGCATTCAAAGTTTCAGGTTTCACAGTAATGCGTAAAGCGTATAGTCTACATGTCACGTGATCGAAAGACTTTTGATATATCAACTTAGGGCAATGTTAACACCCTGTTGTATTGCCTAAAGAAATCATGTACATTCATATGTTATTTTGATGTTCACATATTTCAATAGATGACGCATAATGCTATACCGAAATGGGCTGAGGTTAATATTGAGCAAATCTTGGACATCCTGTTCTGCATTGTTGTCTCCTGAGTTACTTGATAGCAAAACCTAAGGATTTAAATTTATTTATAAAACAAAAAAATATTGCATTCATTCGCCGTTCTCCCCGAAGATAAATAGGGTAATCAAGTGATGTGAACTTATAACTGACAAACTACTGGGTAAAAAGTGATATCGATAGTAATTATGTTTCTCCCCAACTTTAGGCATGGGAAGTACATATTCGATATTTTGGCCCCTAATTGGACAAAATTTGTCCCTAGTTGTGTAAAAAAAAATTCCCCAAAGTTGGTTGGATACGTAAACCGTTGGTTTTGGCAAATGGCAGATCCATGCGTTTAATTTAGCTAGCCATTACTGACATCACACGAGACCGACAGCTCACTGACGGCCCACAAGACCGACGAGAAGTCGGTCTTGTGTCAGTCTCGTGGGCCGGTCGTTGCCCTGTGAGAGTGTGGTAACTTCGGCTAAGAGCGATAGACTTTCCTCTCAGAACAAACCGCTTGAAATCATTAGAATTCAAGAACGGGACATCGTTCTTTTAAAGATAAAGACCAGTTATGGTCACGCGATTGCATTGTGAAAGAAACGTTGTGGAATCGGTCAGAAAAGGTTGATCATCTAGCATATAAGTATTGGTGTGTACTGCAAGGTTCTGGAATCATCAAAATGATAAGAAATTTGGCCCAGTCTTGGTAAGTTACACTGTACACAGAAAGATGTATATGGGACTATGCGACAGGTGCGCGACACGTGTGGGTTATATCTATCAGGTCCAAATAAATATAATAATTTACCAAATATATCAATTAGTTTTTCGTCAAAATGTGTACGATCACGTATTAGTCAAAACATATTCTTTCACATGATTGGTAATTAGAGCTTCCATTTCATTTTTTGAGAGGGGGCGTTTCCAAATCTGGTCTTTACCTTTAAGAAGGGCAGAATAGAGGACCGTAGTAGAATAGAATAATTTCAAGTTTCCAACCCTAAAACATTTCACAAAATACAGTTGGTTATTGTATTCTGAAAATATATACATCGTTTTGCATACGGATTTGTTTATGGCATCGTAGGCCTCCCTTATGGAACAATCACAGTGTTACCACATAGTGAACCACACTATGTACCACATAGTCAAACACAATGTGGTACCACAGCGTGCTACCGCATGTGGGCCACATGTGATTTTGGCACATGTGGAAATATGCCCGAGGACCGGTTTAATATCAACTGGTGCAACTGGAGATATGTTATCAGTCAGTTATCGACTGGTCCAACAGGAAATAAGCCCACAGACTACGTGGATATTATTTTGTGGTAAACCACATACATGCTCTCAAATTCTCACACTGACAATATACTGTGATCACAGAGTTTGCACATAGTTAAATACAAACCATACTGTTGTAAATATGTGTCACGTTGTGTTAAATATGTACGACTATGTGGTAAACCACATGATTTGAACCCCACACTGTGACTATACTGTGAAGATATAGTTAATACATAGTTCAATACATATACCACTGTGGTAAATATGTGATATACTCTGTGTCAAGTATGTCAGTTTATGTGGATATTATGTGGTAAACCACATGGTCTGAAACTTCACACTGTGACAACAATGTGAACACATAATGCCCACACAGTTTACACATAGTGGACTATGTAAACTTAGTGTGGCAACACTGTGATTGTTCCATAAGGGCTGCCATACTGCCATACAGCCTACCTTCTCGAAGGCGACCCAATCGAAGTATTTCTCGCCATTGACGAGGGCCTCGAACTCGACAGGACTAAAAGTTCCTAAGACTTCGGTGTCACATACTTTGTTGAACCCTTGTTGGAAGGCGACAAATTGCGATGGAGCAAGGTAATCTCGTACCTTCTTCTTCACATACAGGTGTCTATGAGAAAAACAAAGCAGATCAGGGCCCCGTTTCATAAACTTGATATCAATAACAAGTTATAAGCTACTGAAATCGTGGCATCTGATTGGCTGAGAGCAAATTTGTCTTAGAAATTTAGCAGTTGTTATAGATCACAGATGTTAAAGGAAACCTCACCCCCCAAATAACTTTACTTATTCTAGGAGATTTATTATATTCTTGCCCATAGGCGCCGGAAGTTGGGGGGCAGGGGGGGGGGCAGTTGCCCCCCCAGTCAAAAAAGTGGGGGGGGGGGGGGGGGGGGGGGCAAAACGCATTTTTGCCCCCCCAAAAACGCCCCCCCCCACCCCCTCCAAAAAAAAAAAAAAACAGTAAAGGAGTAAACATGGTTTGTATTTTTAGTCCAAAAGAATGTAACAATAAAAAAAAACCTGAATTAAATCACATATACAATTCCATTCAAAGAAAAAGGAAAGTTCACAGGAATTAAATTTCATAAACATTGCGCATGCCACCTATACGGTATTTTAAATGGAGGTCTCTATAATAGCGATACGCGCATATCGTGGACATATTGTGCGAGAATGGGAAAGCGTGTCCGGTTTTTTTTGTTATAGGGGTGAGAAGACATGAGCCCCTGAACGCTGGCGTACTGATGGGGGGGGGGGTGATGTATTTCTTATTCGAAACAAGTGATTTACACATGTTGATGTTGTGACATGATTTTCCGGCATTTTTTCTCCATTTTTTTGTAAGTCATACCTTTTTATGCGTTTGTTGGAAAAAAAGAAATTCCCAAATTACAGTCAGGTGAAATACGATTATTTAGAAGCCTTTATGTCATGGTCTGCAAAGTGGCTGGGCACGAGCCCCCCCCCCCCCATCCTTTTTTTAAAAGTATGTTAAAGAGAAAAAGAAAGAAAGACGGAGACAAAAATAAGTGACCTGCCAATGTCACAAATAAGGTATAAAAAATGCTCATCTGACCTTAATTAAATACCTAAAACCCCTGAGCTTACGAGGGCTCTGCCCCCTGGACCCCACCAAGGGCCCTAAGGCGGGCCCTAGGATGCTCATCTGACCGTTATTAAATACCTCAAACCCCTGAGCTTCCGGGCTTTGCCCCCTGGACCCCACCAAGGGCCTAAGGCGGCCCCCTGGATGCTTATCTGACCTTAATTAAATACCTAAAACCCCTGAGCTTCCGGGGGCTCTGCCCCCTGGACCCCACCAAGGGCCCTAAGGCGGGCCCTAGGATGCTCATCTGACCGTTATTAAATACCTCAAACCCCTGAGCTTCCGGGGCTTTGCCCCCTGGACCCCACCAAGGGCCCTAAGGCGGCCCCCTGGATGCTCATCTGACCTTAATTAAATACCTAAAACCCCTGAGCTTCCGGGGGCTCTGCCCACTGGACCCCACCAAGAGCCCTAAGGCGGGCCCCTGGATGCTCATCTGACCGTTATTAAATACCTCAATCCCCTGAGCTTCCGGGGCTTTGCCCCCTGGATGCTCATCTGACCTTAATTAAATACCTAAAACCCCTGAGCTTCCGGGGGCTCTGCCCTCTGGACCCCACCAAGGGCCCTAAGGCGGCCCCCTGGATGCTCATCTAACCTAAATTAAATACCTAAAACCCCTGAGCTTCTGGGGGCTCTCCCCCCCCCCCTTTGAACACGTCAATTGCCTTACAGAGGGCCCCTGGATGCTCATCTAACCGTAATTAAATACCTAAAACCCCTTAGCTTCCGGGGGCTCAGCCCCTTGACCCCCTGCTGAGGCCCATGCCCTGGACCCCACGCCAATTTACGCTCTACCTGATCGATAATACTCCACTTTGAAAAACATTCCGCGGGACCTGCATGTAACGTGTAAGACTGGTGGTAATGCAGATTTTTCGTCTGCCCCCCCCCCCCCTTCCGAACTTTTTTTTCTCATTACGTCACTGCCCCTGGAATGTGAGCCCCCTGGAATGTTTGCCCCCCCCCAATCCCAAACTGCTTCCGGCGCGCCTGTTCTTGCCCATTTATCTACAAAGTGTATGGGAGAGGTCTAAAGCAAGAACAATGTATATTTTCTCAGCATGACATGGGCATCGCCATTTTCTTGATTATCCGACGTACCATGTGATGACGTTTATCAAGTAAATGTATCGACATTTATGGATGCTTCCTTCTCAGGTGTGTGTGGTGATCAGGCATTTCATTGACCTCCTACATGTATTATCCTTTTTACTGAAATTGCCAGAACGCAAATTGCATACATAAGTTGGTGCTCTTCTCGGATGAAGGTTTCCCATAAATGAAAAAGATATTTCAGCTGCTATATTTTAGTAATTTAATGAATTAGTTACAATATTATTGTTTCTCTGTTATATATTTTCCACTAGTTGTAATGTCTATCTTGTTAGCTATGATTGGCTTTATGGCCTTACGAAGAGCAAAATGGACACACGAATTCAACACGAAAATGAACCTTCGCAAATCGCAAGGTCTTCGGGCAATTTTTTGGTATGTCAAAGATTTGGCCAGCGCTCACGAAGTTGCTGCCGGCGGGAGCCTGCAAAATCCACCGGCGGTCACACGACGGCTTAAGATGCCCTCACGAATGGCCCGGTGTCTTTACGATCAGAGCCGAATTTGAACATTTAGTACATCGTGTGTCCATCTGGTGTCAACTTCCGAGACATTAGGGACTTTTAGATTTACGTGGACTGATACGTGTGTCGTCTATTCAAGGCAGTGCATTAATAGGACGTCCATCGTAGCAATCCCCATTGTCTTCGTTCGAATCTTAAAGTCCCTATTGTGACACGGGCATTGAATGTGACAAGTACAGAGCCTATGCAGTATGCTGTCAGTCTAGTCTCACCGTGCAGACACTGTTACGCACAGCGACTGACAAGAGTTTGTGGCTGCAAACTATATGACAAGGCAATTTACAATGCAACCTAGGTTGACTTTTCGATAGTCTTTGCGATCGTGTCTACATATGATTTTTTTTTCGTACACATTTGCTTTGGTGACCTCGACTCTGCCTCCATTGTCTAGCTCTGGCTCGTCATCATAGCGACTCCCAGACACCTCTTCCTCCGTCCCATGAAGTAGTTTCGACATTCGATCTGCGAAGTCCTTGTCCAGCTCTCTAATCTCCTCCATTTCTTCCTTGGGGCTTAAGATCAAGCATTTAAATAAAGAAACAGGCATGCGTTATGTAAAGAACATATAGATATTTCAGGACAATGTCTCAAAAAGAGTGTCGATTGGTCAGAATTGATATCAAGTCCCCCCAGTAAATACTAAACGTAGTTGCCATTGATATCTAGTTGCAGTATATGCAAGGCTGACTGTGTGAACAATTTCTTTTAAATCGAGTAATTGGTACCTGGAACAGTTTACCAGACTATAGGTGGTGATATCGATCAGTACCTTCAGTGGATTCTTTTCAGAATCAGCATGATAAACCGCAGATGAATGCTGTATTTGTGTATGATTTTGATTAATTGTAGACTGGTATAAACTTACATGTACTCATGTCACCCTCGGATTGTATTTCATACTGATTGGCCTCACCCCTTTCATGTTTTTTCTTTCTTAGATTCGATTTTCTATTGGAACTACACTTTCTCCTTGCCACATGCGAATATATGCAGTGGAATTTGCTACTAATTACTCGAGAGGGTGAATAAGTTGTTTTCATTCGAAGTGATCGAAAAACAAGCTTTCTTAGTCTTTAAAAGCATTGTTGAATTAAAGTAAAGTAAGTAGTAGATAATTAATTAGTGATTGAATTGAAACACAACTTCTTATTAAGACGGTAAACCCTAGTAGTAAACAGAAGAAAGAATACTATAGATACTATATTTTCTTCGTTCTCATTTTGTTACTTTATAGGAGCAATGTACGACACCACGTTTTAAGCATTGTCTACTTGGGGGCGGAGAGGTGCCTGAATAAGTAAAGTTTAGTATTTAAAACAGGCCATACCCCCATTCTTTTGCAATTTGATTTGATTTGATTTGATTTGATTTTCTTCTGCATTCATGAAAGTATACAGTTTTTCGATAACAAAAATAATATATAGTACAATAATTTTTTTCTGACAATGAATCGTAAATAAGCAAATACATACATATATATATATATATATATATATATATATATATATATAAATTGTTATTTTCAAAAAAAGAAAGATAAACTGTCATAAATATAAAATTACCTCAAACATTATGAAATTATTTGCGGAAGAAGGACTGTCATTGTAAATTGTAAATTGTGAATTTGCCGCCAAGGCTTGAAATATCCCACTTCTATTGACCTCACCTGGGTGGATTGTGGGAATCATGGCATCAGTGTCGCTGTTGGGGATTCGAAGCCCACCATATATGGTTTTAAGTACTGCGACGTATCTATTGACCACGACACCTCTAACAATTATTGTAAACAAAAACTAAAAAAATGTTCCTACCCTTTTCCTAGCAGCTTCGCATAGAGCAGTTGTGGGAAAGCTGGCAATTGTACAAGTGCGTTGTTGAACAATGACATCCCAAACAACAGACCACACATCATCGCTGTATCCTTGGTGGGACATTCCTGTTATATTCAAATAATTATCATCTGGTATAAAGCAATGATTAAATTTAACGTGCATTATTGTACACAAAATGATACTGATTGCATGAAATGGTGTACTTAGTATTTAGAGCGATACTGAACTGATGGCCTTTCTGTCATAGCGTACTATACTGTTTATTGCACAGCGTCATCTCATAGTCAACGTTGAAGGTCAAAGTTCACTGAATATGCAGTTGGACAGGAAGATCACATTTTACTATTTAGTATATCCTAGGATATACTATCCTATATCTATTTTCACTATTTTGGACAGTTTTTTAAGACCTATGATTGATTTTTGGTGTAATAATTTTCATTTCTTCATGATCTTGGCTACCGATTTATAACTTTATAATAGAGTAAGCCGTTATAAGTTTGAGGGCGGTTTGATAATCCTTCACATACTTTTTTTCTGATGATACATAATCCTTCTTTTTTCACCTTGCACAACTTCATGTGAGCCATAGTGCTTGAATATAGCACAGGCTTTAAATGCTTCTCTAAAGTAACATTCTATACGACTTGAGTGTTAATGGTGTTTGGAACATCCAAATGTGATGAGTTATATATCATTCTAAAGCTGAGAATCATACCTTTAAGAATCAGACATAAATTAGATTATCGTTTATGGCTTTTTGGGGTTTTTTCATGAAATTATGGATAAGGGTCTATTCAATCGGATGCCACCTAAACTATTTACAATGATTTGCACTTGCGGAAGCTATGGCTAATTTTGAGAAACTCGCGAAAATAGGTTTAGGAAAAATAGTTCAGTCTGGAATTTGAGCAAAGCGCAAATCAGGCATCAGTTGCAGTTAGCAATAATTGATTTCATCCATCAGTTTATCTTTAGCTTTACATCTGCAAGCGTGCACCCCTACCCCTCCCACACAAATATGCACTCACACGCACATGATGTTCCAGATCATTGTCTTCTGCACTGAATTTCCATTTTTCCTTTAGCGTTTTGACAGAATGTAACACAGCACAGAAGATGATTCATATTGTTCCGTTTTTTGTTATAAAAGAAAGATAAAACGAATCATTTCCTTTGTTACATTTCTTCCATCATATTTTCATGATGTGTTGCTCTCTGACGCATCTGGAAACATGTAGTGTAAGGCATGTCGATATAGTTCATATCCACATGTCTCTGAAGAAAACAAAGTACTACCTGTGTCAATTAATGTTTCTTTTCTTAACCCATTGCCTACTGGGACTCTATGGCAATAAATGAATTTAGTAGTCATTGGGTTAAATGCATCGTTTAACAATGTTAAATATGATATGCATGGCCCTACGTGTTATCAGTGTCTGTGATATGGTGTAATATCTGAGCCCTTAAACAAATTGCGCTTCAAAATGATCAAGAAGTGCCTCAAAAACGTAATAATCTTTGAGTGACCGGTTTTACCATACTCGTTTTGCCGAATAGACTTTAGTGTTAAAAATTGGTAACTCCAATCATAAATATCTTGATAATCAGACAGGCGATCGGCTCGTAAAAGACATGGAGTTCCTGACTGACCTGAATGTTTATACTTATCATTGCAGCATGAGCTAAATCCAGGATTTTGTTTCAGAATCTGAGACAAAGTTACCGGATCCCCATTAAATTTCTAATTCACCTTGCAACACCTTGTCTTTTGGGTCTTGTGAATTTTAGGATGAATTAATTAGACATTTGAAGAAAAAACCTATGTCAATGTGAGAATCTCTTCCTGTCCCTGCATTCAATCATTCCAACGCTATCCAGACAAAAATGGGTAATGATCTCCGTTGGAAGATATCACAAGCAATGATGGTGGTGACGGGGCAGTGGCGTATTCAGCAAGGGTAAAGGTAGCTAGTGGGGCTCCTCCTTGTCATGGAGAGGCTGCCCATTCACACTAACTGAACCCCTGCAAATCAATTATTGGCAGTAAACAGAACTTATGCAATAAATGGCTGATTCGCTCTCCGGTCCATTCCAAGGTTTTTTCCGCAAACCAATTTTCGCGAGTTTTTCGAAATTAGCCAGTGCACACTCAAGCGTAAAAGATATTTCAATACTTTTTGTGCCATACGATTGAATAGTTTCATAAGCAAAATTCATACATATTATGCAGATGATATTACAATTTTTGAGGATATTTTCAAAGTGTGTATTAGTTTACACGCACTGTGCAGTGCAAAAATTGTTATATAACACACCAGTGCACGTATTAGAAATGTGTAGTGTCACGTGATACCTTCTCACCTAATAGGATGCTCTCGAACAAATATCCTATTTCATATAAAGGGTCAAATGCCTGTATTGACAAACCCACTGACAATGAATTGCGATATGTTAATGTATACCGTGTATATTGTTCAACAAACATTACCTCTCTGAACCAGACTTGTGACTGGGTCGGGTCATCTTCGTTGATATGTCGGAAAAGGACGTTCTTTTCCGGGTCCAGAATTTCGTCAAACACGAGCCGGAAAAATTCCTAAAGTTTCAGGAAGGAAGTCAAAGTACACAATGCAAAGTCGTAGTTTCACAGAGAAAAAACGAATATGAATTTCATAACTATTTACATAATATTTTCGTTCATCATCTACTTTTATTTCATAATTTCTCATACTAGTTTTAATAATGATTTTACATTTGTTACATACAAAATTATTCAAGTGTGAGTATACTTATAGTGGTGGCGCTGGGAATATCTTGACCAGACTACCCCCCCCCCCCGAAACAAAAACAAAAAAGAAAAAAAAGAAAGAAAAGAGATTTAAAAAAATGAAGAAAAAAAATAGAACCCGGAGAAGAGTATTATGTAAAAAATATAATTAAAAGGAGATGCATCCTGATTTGCTCACACACTATTTATTATGTAAATATACTCAACTGCGCTTCGGTGGACTATTGCAATAACGATAATCCACCACAACGTAGTTCATTCTCTGCGCTCCATTGTCGATGATATTATAATATTACTTTTGTTATCAGTATCATTATTAAAACTATTGTCAGTAGTATTTTATCATTATTACTGTTATTGTCATTATTGTTATTATCATCGTCATTATTATAATCATCTTCATCATCTCTAACCATTTACGATTATACTATTTTTTTTTTACCTTACTGAACCATTCCAATATTAATCTCTTACAATACTTATATCTTTAAAATACCTATAACTTACGATACCAATTCCTTACCACATTAATATCTTACAATCAATGCCTTAGCCTACTAATCCCTCTTATCATCACACTGATAGTTACACATACTTAGCTCTTACCAAACTACTAATCCCCAACCACGCTAATCTTTCACCTTATATATATATATATGCTATATTAATCCTTTACCATACTATTCTCTTACTATAATAATCCCTATTAAGATTACCATACTAGTCTATCAAATTAATCTATTGCCGTACTAATACTTCTCCACATCAGTCCCTTACAAACTAATCTTTTACCATGCGTATCCCTCTGCACATTTGTTTACCACACTAATCTATTACCACGTCCAATCTTAATACCGCACTTATCCTTTACCATATCCAATCTGTTATCCTACTATTAACTTACCACACTCAGTGCTCCCTCGTCAATACCCCTTTCCCCTTCAAAGATAACCCTGAGAGGTTTCTGAAGGGTAGACTTGGGGAGCCTCAACAGCTCTGAGAGTCGATCCCGGACACTCCTCCCGAAGATGTCATCCCGCTTTACGACGAGCTCAAGGTATGGATGAAACTTGGGAGGGATGAGTGGGACGAACTGCCGGAAAGAGTTGTACAAGTATTGCTGCCATTCCATCCTTTTTCTTTCAAGTTCCGTGGCAATCTAATTATTTTTAAAGATTTTAAAGGTAATAGTTTTAAAGTTAAAGTTGAGCTCTGTTCGCACTGTGGCATTGTGTGATAAACGGTGTGGATGTAATAGGAAAGTATTTCTATTATTATCATTATTTATTATTATTATTGTAATTTTTATTATCATTATTATTTTCATTATCATTATTACAATTGTTATTATTATTGTTATTTTTATAATGATTATAATTGTTCTTATCGTTATTATTATCGTTATTATTATCATTATAATTATCATAATCACTTAATCGACGTCGAAATACCGACTGATATGTGCCTCCACACTTGAATTTTGTTCATTAACGCCTACACTGTACCTTTTGCTTTCTAACAGAGTTGCCTTTTCCTTCAGATCAATGAGGAATGGATATGACATCGAAGAAAATTCTATCGTCTTCTTTGTGCATGTCTGATCCTCAACAAAACGCAGTAAAAGTCTTTTGTCAATTCTGTTTTTTGCTACGGCAGGCAGCCAGTGAAAACGAATTTCTTAAATCAAATAATGGAAATGCAAGCAGAACAGAACTTTGTTATTCCTCAGTGGCTCATTTTTCATGATTGAGGTATCATATTATGAAAGGGCAGAAAATGAAATTTCTAGAAATAAAAAAATACCGCCCTCTCTTTAAATTGTTGTTGATCACTCATGCGTGAAATATGCATCATATGAGTTGCATCTAGTGAAAGAGGAGGATCTAAGCTGTACAAATGTGTGTCATTTATTAAATATAATTGTGATTAAGTTATGATAAAACATCGATAATTCTCGCTTTCGTTTTTTTTTTGGATGCACTGTATAGGCCGTAAATTTGCTCCATCTTTTCAGAGGCAGTTAATGAAATACCTGTAGCTAGTTTACTATATATTTGGGCATATGTCGTCCATGACCGATGCCGTATCCAGTATAGTTGTGCCAGTTTCCCCCGCCCCCTCTCCCTCGCCCGACACTCCCGTCTGAATGCCTTTCCCTATCATGCCTATACTGCAAGATTTAGAAAGTACACCGGTTACATTAAAGGCCGGTAAAGACCAGTTTTGGAAACGCCCACCCCCCCCCCTCTCAAAATATGAAATGGTAGCTCTTATTACCAATCATCTGAAAGAATATGTTATGACTAATACGTGATGATACAAGTTTTGCCGAGAAGCCGCCTACTTATTGATATATTTGGTAAATTAGTTTATCTATTTGGACGTGATAGATATCACGCACGTGTCGGGCACGTGTGTGTAGTCCCATATACATCTTTATGTGTACAGTGCTTGTAACATTACCAAGACTGGGCCAAATTTGTTTTCATTTTGATGATTCTAGAACCTTGCAGTACACACCAATACTTATATGCTACATGATCAACCTTTTCTGATCGATTCCACAACGTTTCTTTCACAATGCAATCGCATGACCAGAACTGATCTTCATTTGAGCGGGATTGTCAAATTTACATTACATTACGCTACCTAACCCACCCCCTCCCCCACCACACCCGGACCGAATACTTTCGTTTAACAATGTTAAATCTGAGATGCATTTCGATTTCCAATCATAAATATCTTGATATAATCAGACAGGTGATCGGCTTGTAAAAGTCACGGGGCTCCTGATTGACCTAAATGTTTATAATCATCATTGAAGCATGAGCTAAATCAAGGATTTTGTTTCAGAATCTGAGACAAAGTTATCCAATCCCTTTAACCTCGGCTCCACCTGCAGTTCCGAACTTTATAACATATAGGGCAATTGTCTACTCTCCCCTTAGAATCAATTCAGAATTATCTGATTTTGGATGTAACAAAAACATGTAACTGATGGTATCTAGACTGGAGCAGTAATTGCAAGAAGCCTCAGACGAATGGGTGACGTTTAAAAATCAAAACATGTCGTCTCGCTAAAAGTAAATTTCATGATATTTCAACAATACACAATAATAGTAAAAATTGTAAAATTTGGAATTTAACGTAACTCACCACTGAATTATCGTCTCTGTGGCACAAAATCTTGCACTCAGAAGCCCGTAATTAAGATTTAAGCTCTATATGCTTACGACCTACGTCTATTCCTCATTTCGGTACAGCAAAACATGTCCAAGATAATCATAAAAGTAGACTCATGAACGAATATGGTCGTAACTCGATGATGTAAACCTGTTTTTCTCAATGATTGTGGATGGAGGTTTGGGAATTCCCACTTATTGCGAAATGTAGGCATACAAGTACTCGCAATCATTACTGTTTACAAAGCAGTTATGCTCGGGAACTGGGGAATCCCCGCCTGCTCTCGCTCTCTCTCTCTCTCTCTCTCTGTCTCTGTCTCTATCTCTGTCTCTGTCTCTCTCCATCTCTCCCTCTCGCTGTCTCTGTCTGTAACTCTCTCTCTCTCTCTCTCTCTCTCCCTCCTCATGCATGAATGCGTGTGTGTGTGTGTACGTGTGTCACGTAGCCTGAATGCAGTCCATGTTCACATAGGTTTTCGTGTATATAATAATGTCCAAAAAAGAAGAAGAAAAACACCACTAAATTTGAAATCAACTTTGTCCACCTCACTGACATTTCAATCGATTTAGGCTCTCATGGTGAATATTTATCAAAACGCTGTTAAACGTTATAAATTTATATATGTATTTTCACAGCTGTTTTTATTTGAAAGCACGATAATAAATTGGCTTATTTATGGCATCCGTCTGTTTAAATGTTTTGCTACAGTGTGGTGTCGTGCCATCTAGAGTTTATTGGTGGTTTAAATGTCGGCATTCTGTTCGGGGAGGCACGTTTCCGTTTTACACAATAGCTAAATATTCATCACTGCTTCATGCAAACTGGTGGCGCAGGAGTCTTACTGCAAATGTATGGTCGTGCTTCTCGCCATTGAAATCATAAATCACCCCTAAACATGTCTATGGTAAATAGAATAAATGGGTTTATTTCCGTAAACTGACAGTGTGATCAAGAAATGCAATAAACGCTATTACCAACTGTATTACCAGCTGGAAAATATGAATCTAGCAAAATTCACACCATTCATTTTCAATTAAAACAAAATCAACAACAATAAAAATCAGCCTCATGCCGTATATATTACGTTTCCATCGATTGAACCCACGTACAGTGAGTAATTCAACAAAAAGGGTTGAACCCTACTTTACAGCCGCAAAAGTGACATTTTTACCGAATTCCACGGGCCGTTGTGTAAAACGGAAAGGCGCCTCTTTGGGGGGGGGGGGGTCGAGATAAATGCACTGTAGCGAGAAAGAGAAAGAGAAAAAGAGACGGCGGGAGAAAGAGAGGAAGAGTGAATGAGAGAGAGAGAGAGAGAGAGAGAGAGCAGGCGGGGATTCCCCAGTTCCCGAGCATAACAGTACTGCTTTGTAAACAGCTGTGCATTGCATGTACGTTTATGCCTACATTTCGCAAAGTGGGAATTCCCAACGCTCCATCCACAATAAAAGCGAAAAACAGGATTATATCATAAAGTAACGTACCATATTTTTTACATAAGTGTACTCTAAAGTTTATATTGGACATGTTTTGCCATACCGAAATGAGGAATAGACGTAGGTCGTAAGCATAGAGCTGAAATCTTGACTAATTCTGAGCGCAAGATTTTGTGCCACACTGAGAAACGCAATTCAATGGTGAGTTTTTATTTAATTCAAATTTTGGAATTTTCGTTATCATTGTATATTGTTGAAGTATCATGAAAGTGACTTTGAGCCAAACGCCAGCCATTCGGCTGAGGTTTGTTGCAATAATTGTTCCAGTCTTAATACCGTCAGTTTCATGTTTTTTTACATTAAAAATCAGACAATTCTGAATTGATGTTTAGCGGAGAGTGGACAAGCGCCCTATGATTTGCATATTTATAGTCCAAAAATGCAGGCGGAGCCGTGGTTAATATCCTCCAGTCCATTTTCAACTGGTAATCATCTACTGGTTTTCAACTGGTATCTACTGGAAACAACTGGTCTCCAATGGTCCACTCTTGTTTTATGGGTTTTAAACTGGAATCAACTGGTAGTGTACCAGTGAGGCCTATTGTTTTGAACTGGTATTAACTGGTGTAACAATTTAATACCAGTATGGCTAATTGGTTTCAACTGGAATTAACAGCATGCCAGTAGGGTCGATGGGTTTTAACTAGGATATACTGGTGTATGTGAAGTTTACCAGTTGTATCAACTGGTTTCAACTGGTACCAGTTAAATCCAGTTGAAACCAGTAAAATAAACTGGCACATACCCGAGTTCCGTCAACTGGAATGAACTGGTACCAGTTGATTCCAGTTACTGGAGTTACCAGTTATACTTGTACAACTATACTGGATACACCATTATACGAAATTCGTAAATCTATAGTAAACTACAAAAATTCATTGCATTTTCCCCCGGCCCCCAACAGGAAAAATTCCTCTGTAGGGCCATGCATTATGGTTCAAGGCATGGCAACACAGAGGAATTTTTCCTGTAGGGGGCCGGGGAAAAATGCAATGAATTTTTGACAATTTATTGCATTTTCTTCATTTTGGGGGATTTGTGGAAGGGGCCGCGTACCTTAGCAAACACTGCGTACAGTCATGATTCAGGGGCTAAGCAATGGCCTCGTTACTGTGAGGCCCCAGGATAAAAATCGTGCTGATCAGCTTTATTAGTGCCCTTTTGAGAGGCATTAATCCTCATTACTGTCAATTATGACTTAAGGATGTAGGTCCCTTAGCTGATTAGCATAGTAGCACACATATGATTAAGCAGTCACGCAAAACAAACACTCGCAAATTAATATTCAATAAAATCTGAGAATGTATGCCATTATCTAGATCTATTAGAAATAAATAATTTTTAAAAATCCTTCCCTAAACTGGGGTAAAAATAAATATTCCACCATTATGACCAACAGTGTAGTTATAGGCATTACCTTCATTGCCTGAAAAGATGGGGCAAATTATTACGCTGTACATGTGACATGTCAAA